GTCCTTAGCTTTGACAAACTATTTTTTTTAAACCTTTGGTAGCGATTCAGTAGAAGACACATTCGCTCACATTGTACTTTAGTCTATTTTCTCACTGGTTAGTGCCTTCAAAAGCTTCAATTTCATTCAATTTCCCTTTAGTCCAGATCAAGCATGCAACCATCCCAAGCTAGGGCTTGCTGATCGGTAGCGAACATGTTCAGTAGCGAACCGTTCAGTAACAAACCGTTTAGTGACCGAACATGTTCGGTTGCGAACGGTTTCGTGACCGAACATGTTCCGTTGCGAACAGTTTGGTGACCGAACATGTTCGGTTGCGAACGGTTTGGTGACCGAACATGTTCCGTTGCGAACAGTTTGGTGACCGAACATGTTCGGTTGCGAACAGTTTGGTGACCGAGCATGTTCGGTTGCGAACGGTTGGTGACCGAACATGTTCGGTAACAAACCGTTCGGTGCCGATCAGCGATTCCTAGTTTGGGATTGTTGCATGCCTAGCTGTACCATAACTTTATATTAGATTTTGAACAAAATCGTTTTTGTTAAACACCGATATGCTTAATATACCGCGTCAGAAAAGTTATTTTAATAAGTCTCCATAATATTATAATGATTCATATGCACTTCTAGATGTGTAAAATCGTTTTCTCTACAAAATGTGATCATAACTAAGTCGAAAAAGCAGTGGGACAAAACCAGTGGCAAAACGAGCTCCGTCCACCAAAATTTCTGAAAGCAGGAGCGGTGTACACTCTCCTTACACAAACGGTCGCTTCGCCACTGCTTAATACGTGTTCAAAGGAGGAATAAACAAAAACAACGCTGAACCATATGTTGTATTACCATTTAAAAATAAAAACTGTTTATGGTGTCTTAGCCCAAAAGGAAAACTGTTTCACTTTATGTTTGATACTTCCTGACTTAAGAATATGAAACCTGTTTCAGTACATTAACTAAGAGCTAGAGTTGTTAAAAATAGTTTTAAAAAGTTGGTGAGAAAACTTTTGGTGGAATGAGAATACTTCCGAATGTCCGTGCATACTTCCGAGAATATTGAAAATTTCCGGAATACCCGAATCCGCGTTTTCCCCCTTGGATTAGAGTCATCACATTTGAACACGAACAGTCACGTAACAAAAAGTCGAAGAGATATGCAACAAAGAGAGAATACTGACGCTACCTTCTGAGTTCTTGTTGATGTTATTATTATAGTTCGTCATCAACTGTTTATGTATTATCAGCTAGGCATGCAACGGTTACGTTTATTAACCGTTGACCGTAACCGTAAATAACCGTTCGAACGATGAATCGTAGCCGTAAATAACCGTTTTATAACAACTTAGTGTATATTTGAGTTTTAGTTCGTTGATATCGGTTTACATTAGAAGTAGGCAAGGATGCTCTTTGTTCTGACATTTTAGTCTACTAAAAAATTTATGGAAATTCTAGGGAATAGGTCATCGACTACGAGGAATCCGAAAATGAGTATGAGCGACCTATAGAACGTATTCTATCGGTTAGAAACGTCCTCTCGGATTCCGGGATCTCATAAGCACAATATTCAAGGAGAGACAAGCACCACTTGAGCGCTTATCGTGAAGGTTTCTGTCAAACACTTGTTTCGTACAACAGGTGGAGCGAGTGGTAGATAGCGAGTGGGAGTGAGTCATGGAAGGCCGGAACCGTAGGCCCGTACCAAGTCTAGTAACAAACACGTTCTTGAGCTGATGACTTTTGTTCATGACGAAAGCGAACGTTTCAGTTGACTATTTTCCGATTCCCCGAGTGTAAATGTAGGTCACGGTTCATGACCGGACATCCGTAAATATGAATGATAAGACCCGAAATCTGTCACCTCTAAAACTGTCCACTTCTATCGTATGGTTAGAAAGCCTTGATCCTAGCACTCAAGAATCTGTCATTCGATTTCCTCCAAAACATCTGGACTCAAGAAAAATCGAGCTTTTCTGAAGTAGAGCTATTAAATCTTTTTATTATCTTAAATGGTAATTTCTTATAAGATCTTAGTACGATAATTTTAGGGAGTGTCTAAGAGTTTTACTAGGAGCTGACATGTTCTCGTTTTTTTGACAAATAAATAACAAAACGTAGGACAAAAATGCTTGTTCTTATCTTACATACAAATAAAAATGACACACGTTTCTTATACTAATCTTTATTCATGACAAAAAGAAGAGTTTATCATACACTGGACCTATATAAAAATGTTAAAAGAAATATTTCTTCTGCTATTAGTAATTGTTGTTGTTGTAAATGGTGATCGACAATGTACTGTTAAATGCCAATTTTCATTAGCATTTGGTGAGCCATTTCAGGTTCCAAAAAATTGCACAACTGAAACTGGTGATAATACCTTCACATGTTTTGTTACTGCTTACATTGATTATATACAAAAACAAATCGAAATTCAATTGAATGCTGAAAACGAATCACCAGCATCGAATGAAACGTATGGGCAAGAAATTATGCTTCGTTTTGATCAATCTGATGAACTAATGAAAACTGGTGTAATCTATGGTTGTACAATTTCAAATGATTGTGCTAAAAATTATATTGAAAAACAATTGAGAATACTAGTTGATCACGAAGGAATATTACATACAATAAAAGATAAATTGTATAATCCTGGAAGTTCAAATGTTCAACAATGTAATGATTTACAGAATAACACCATTGCTTGTGGAAATGGACAATGTCGCGCAGAATTAGGGACATTTAATAATCCTGAGGATCCTGTACCATTTTATAGAACATATTGTAATTATTCTCCACCCGAGGATCCATTTCAAAACAAAACCGGCTTATTCGATATAACTGCACGTGGTTATCCACCGCCTGGTGTAGATATGCATGATTTATATTATGTTTGTAATCAAAATTTATGTAATAATCAAGAAACAATAAATTTAATTCAAAAATTAATTAATGATTACAATCTCAATGAAGTTTAAGGGCAACAACAACGATTACTTTATCATTACTGATCAAACGTATCATCCATAGAACAGAACATTTTAATTATATTTATTCACAATAACAAAGCTTTTTAAGACTTATTATTAAATATTTATATGTTTGAAATTGTTCTTTTTAAATGTTGACTTTGCTCTTGACTAATACATACATGTGGATCTCAGCATATTTTAAAGATGACATCCCTCAACAAATTTTTCTTTACCAAGATCTGATAGCTTTAATTCCTTGATTAGAAGGAACTGTTGGAAGTGTAACCATTTAATATCATGCTAGCAGCTAATCTATGTACAGATGTTAGTAAATGTAGATGTATTTTATAATTATTGTTAAGTACCACACAACAATAATGCATAAGAGGTGAAATACACGTTTTATTAATATGACGCTGAATAAAAGACGGAGCATATTTGAATTTTCGATTCATAGCGCCTAGCATTTACATACATCTTTGAACAATATTTTCACAATGAAATTTTCACGCGATATTCGACGAGAGATAAACTCCTGCTAATTTAATATTTTTTTATATAACAATTTACCTCTCGCATAAGAAAAGAGACGGGAACTGCTGATGAGGCATGCCGTTAGAAAACAACATATAACAACATTCACAGAAAAAAAAAAATTATTTTCAATGAGAAACTCAGGACAGTTCAAATGAGTACTCGGCACTTTTGACTGTCTGGTATTCACCTTATCTCTAAGTCTTGCCTCAAGCCAAATAGATATGTTAGAATTCTTTAGTCAATCCCCATGTTGACGAAATTGCGGTATTTTTAACAATTAATCGCGATTCTTTAAAAATCGCAGATTAATTGCAATTAATCGGCGATTCTGATGATTTATCTCTGGGCAATGTCTAAAATCGACTCGTCGGAAAGGGTCGGACTTCAGCTGGTACTAAGACTCTTGCTGGGTGACGTACATGTCATTGTGCATGAACATTCTCCGTATTGACAGTACAAGGAAAGTCGATAACTGAGACTGTTTACTATAACTTATTATCGTTTACGTTGTTTCATGAAGAGTTTAGAGCAGTGAGGACTGCGGGCGTAAGTAAAATGTCCTTACTTTGTACAGTTTTTTCCCGTGAATGTAACGTAGGAAAGAGAAGATATGGACGTCCACCCTCTTCTATTAGTCAGAGCAGTTAGATTCAGGCTTCTACACATTTCTCTTCTGTTGTGTGACTCGTCTAATAGTCAAATATGAAGCCAATGAGAACAGCTTGGGAAGATGGCGCACCATTACATCAGAATAATACATTTATAAAAATAGAACAGCATATCAATTCAAGGACGTAGCTATATGTTACCTGGCACTAGCAGATAACTTCAGCATTCGTCGAAAGCTAGCTGTCAGAAGAGAAATGTGCAGAAGGTTCAATATAACTGCTCTGACTAATAGAAGAGTGAGGACGTCCATATTTTCTCTTTCCTACGTTACGTTAACGGGAAAAAAATGTATTGAGGTGTTTCTTCCACGTGCAGCACTTGCCTCTTTCGATTCCGTACAAGAACAGAAAGAAAAAAAAGAAAAATGAATAAAACGAAGGAACTGTGTGTTGGTATTATAAAAGGAATTGTCGGCAGATCTCCTCAAATATTACGTAGTCACAGAAAGGGGAGTTAAAGAAGCAAAAAAGAAATTCGCTGTATATATATATATATGCTAAATAGAAAGCAGAGTGCATTGACTAATACATGCAATCGATATGTATGTTTCGACATGAATGTGCAATAATACATTACTGCGTCTCCTGCTCTCTTGAAGTAAATCAGCAGTCAATCGAACGAATACAAAACATTTGAGAGCACATATAATCAACACAACTTTGTATCTATAATAATCTGTTTTCAAATTGTAATGTCAGTCTATTGTACTGGCACGTTTATTGGTCAGCGTGTCCTTGATTTTTCCATACCCGCTGATACAACAGAACAAGAGCAACTAAAATTTACGTTGTGCTTTACTCCAACGAAACGATATCCATCTGCGTTTGGTGCTGGATTTTGTAGCACAAAAACGTCGTCAAGCAGCATAATCCATGGAATCTATAACGGAACAACACAACAAACTTCCGTAGCCGAAGTAATAAACGGCACAGCAGTCTATGAATATCAATGTAAACTGACGATCGACAAACCAACCGGAGCAGTTTATTTGCGTGGCACCTGGAAATCATTGGTAAATTCAAATCTTTTTGGTAAACTGGCAATGATTTGTGAACCAGATACTCCATCTCATTGTCTATCAGGAATATGGACGGGTGAAGCACAACCTGCTATAGAACTTGCCGATTTTTTCATTCCTATTAATCCAATTCGCTGGTGCGCTACGCTATTTCGAACAAACAACGACACATGGCAGCTATTTGGTAGCGGCTATTTCAACGATTCAGCTGATATTCCTGATCAACCCCTTTTGTTCTTTTCATTGGATGGAACAGGAACATTAGATGATATGAAAATTATCAAGAAATATACAACAACTGATTATATTGTGGAATATCAGGGAAAATTTAGCAAACGTGAAAATGGTACCTACTCATTTACGGGTAATTGGTCAAATGCTGTAGCAGGCAGTTATGGTTCATTTATAGCTGAACAATGTCGATTGAATCCAACGGTCTCATATCGACTTGATATTTGTCTGTGTGAAGTGTGTACAAATGTTCTTAATCCCGGTGATAACCGCTGGTTTTGCTCCCAATGTAGTTTTACTACGTGTCCTGGATGTAATCTCAATGATATCGCAGTTGCGCATCGACATAAATTGATACCGCATATTCTTCCCACACAACAAATAGCACAGGGTAAAACTTCTGCTGAATTGATCGACAGCGCTTTTAAGACGTTTGAATCATCTCCATTTATTGGTTTCAAAAGTACGCAGAGCAAGCAACTGGTATGGGTCACCTATGGTGAAATGTCTATGAAGTGTTATGCATTAGCAAAATACTGGAAACAATTTGTAGTGAATGATAGTAAACATGTGAGACCGTTTATTGTGATAATGGCCGATACTTCACTCGCCTATGTTACTTGCTTACTAGCTGGACTTTTGTGTCAAGCTGTGATTGTTCCAATTCATAGTGCATTACAGCTAGATGCATTAACTCATGTTATATCAACAATTGATCCGTCTATTATCGTTGTTGACAAACAATGTTTCGATAAACTTTCAATTATTTTATCACCTAATTCTAGCAGATTAATAATGACAATTAGTGAAAGTGAAGAACAATTGAAATCATTAACACCAATCCACAAAGACTCGATTTCATTGACAACTGCTCTTGAGCTGGGTAATAAAATCCATAATGATATTCGCCCACATTCCTCTTTATCAAGCGATACTGTGTCTGCTATTCTTTCTACCTCTGGTAGTACAGGTTTTCCAAAAGGAGCGATATTCACCGAAGAATTACTGGTCCCCAACGATACATTTACCCTTATATCGCCGTTTATACGTATTGATTATCAACCATTTGATCCCGTACTTGTACTATCTCTAATGAGTACGATGCAATATGGAAGTAGTCGAGCTTTGACTAATCTTAAAGATATGTGGGATGACATACGAGACATAAAGCCGACAAGTCTCGGTTTAAGTCCTGCCATATGGACTTCCTTATATAAAACTTATTTGGGAAAGTTAACAGGACTTTCAACGGCAGAACAACGGGAGACTGTAGCAAGAGAAATGCGCGAAAGTTTAGGTGGTCGAGTGATTGTTGGAACTTCGGGTGGCGGTTCGATTTCCGCTTCTGTATTGTCTTTCATTCGGAGCACACTGAAAATCGATGTTGTCGATATGTACGGTTGTCGAGAATGTGGTAATATTGCAAGAGATGGTGTCATCTATCCAGGCGTTGATGTCAAATTGATTGCGGTGCCTGATATGGAATTGGATGGCGAGGATGAAGGTGAAATTTGTGTTCATTCGCCTCGTATGATTTCCGGTTATTGGGGAATTCCAAAGCATTCTTCATTCATTGAAATTGGCGGAAAATCGTACTACAAAACCGGTGATATCGGAAAGATAAATCAAGGAACGGTAATGCTGCATGATAGATCTGGTACAATGATTAAAAATGCGATGGCTGAATGGATTGCACCAGTTAAAATTGAGAACATGTTGGAACAACTGTCAGAAATTTCATTAGCATTTGTTCTAGGTGATTCTAGTTGTTCCTATTTGGCAGCAATTATATGCCCATCCCATTCTGGTAGTACACTAAATGAAACTGAAATGTTACAGCTGATTCGATTTTATGGCGTTCATTGTGGATTTCGTGGATCGGAAATACCCCAATGTATTTATATCGAGCGAGATATAACCTGGAATGAAACAAACGGCCTAATGACAGGAAAGAAATGTCGCGGTGCACTACTGAAGCATTATTCTCAAATAAAGGCTCATCTTTTCAGCCGAAATTTAAGTCATGGAAATGCAAGGAGTTTAAATTTGAGTTCAGAATTTGTTAGCATATTAGAAAATGTATTAAATCGTTCATTCCAAGGGCAGATCAATGGCGAAAACACATTCTTAGAAATCGGTGGTGATTCATTAGCTACTGCTCTTCTTTGCAAAGCCTATAACGAACGTGGAATACCTCTAAATCCATCGGCTGTATACATTTACCAATTAGATCATCTGGATGAAATGTTAGCGAAAAAACGTCTCATCTATGATGAAATAGTCGTTGACATTGATTGGAAAAAAGAATATAAACTTTCTGACCATATTAAAAGTCTTATTCAGAAGTCAATATCTCCACGAAAGAAAGACGTATTCGTAACTGGTAGCACAGGATTTTTAGGCCCAATGCTTATTAGTGAGATTATCGAACGAACAGATAGCAATGTTGTCATTTATTGCCTTATAAGAGCGACGGATGCGAAACATGCACAGCAACGTCTAGAGCAAGATTTACAAAAATGTGAACGCTATTCCTCAACTAATTGGGTAAGAATTCGATGCATAGCTGGTGATGTTTCGAAAGAGAATCTTGGCTTAACTTGTGATTTATACAGTGAACTAATGCAACAAATTGGATTGATTTACCATAATGCATCAGTTGTTAATATGCAAATACCCTATACAGCCATGAGAGACTCGAATGTTGATGGTACCTTGAATTGTTTGCAACTTGCATTGAAATCTCATGCCCGATTTGTTTACATAAGTTCAGTAGCCTCGTTGCCTGCTTCAGAAGCTTCCACAGAAGATTCGGATGGATGGGTAAAATTGACATTGAATGAAATGAATCAGAAAGATGGCTATGGGCAAACAAAGGCTGTTGTTGAACAGCTATTGCACACCGCTTGTAATTTGGGTGCTGATATCGTGGTTATACGGCTTTGTACGATTTCTGCTGATACTCAAACAGGATATAGCAATCTTTTGGATTTTATTAATTTATTGTTACTTGCTGAAGTTACAATGGGAGCCGTCGTAGAAAATGCAAATATCCTGTTACATTTTGTACCAGTCGACTATTGTTCGAGAGCAATTGTTGTTTTAGCTATGCATTCCGATAGCGGAGGAAAATGTTTTAATTTCTATGGAAATGGTTTGAGTATTTCACTTCTTCATAAAGCACTTGTCGACCAATTGCCAGGTGTAATATGGACACAAATAGCACAAAACAATTGGAAACAATATGTACTAAATAATCTATCTGAAAATAGTCGAATATGGCCCTTGAGAGAAAAAATTGCATCGATGATATTCATTAGTGAAGATCATCAAGGACGAGAATTAGGTGTTCGAACTGAAATGACAAGAGAGTTTTTAAATAAGAAATGCGGCCTCAGTTGGTTCAGGGTGATGGAACAAGATCTAATTAAATCAGTCGAATATATGATCAAGCAAGGATTTCTAACTCATCGTCTGTCCTAAGTAATAAGTATAGTATGTGTTACTTGTGCATAAACAATTAAATAATAAATTTTGATTTTTTCCATCTGCCCCTAGAGTTCGACATTTTGAGCAAGTATCAACTATTTTTTCACCTCCGACCGGAATAGAATTATGACACGGCAGATACAGTCAAAGAAATGATGGTTGCTTGTGTTATTGATTATTTAGAGCCGTAGTCGGAAGTCTATTCCGCACCAACGACCAGCAAATAAAATATGCTACCTCATTTCTGGCAGAATGATGTGATGGCAATACTGTTTTCTTCGAGATCTGAATGATGCTGATCTTTGATGCTGATCACGAATCTGATATCCGTTTCTGCTTATAAGGCCTTTATAGGGTGGGTCTCTGAAACGGATCCACCTGTGGATGTCTGAAGACCCGCTATGAACTTCCAGCTGAACATATTTTGGCACCGTGACACGACATTATCGCGCACAGGATCCCAGCTCTTCCACAAATTTCTTATGGTAGACATTTAGGTACTTTTGGCACTGTGTCGTGGGAGGGAGAGCTGTGGGCAGTGTAAGAGTGAGTTCGAAAAGTAGTTTCACGCAAAACATATTTTCAGGATTACTGTATATCTGTAACTATATCACATAATCACGACCCATGTCAAAATCTTTTGGCATTAATCAAGTGAATAACGGAAAGAAAATGCAAAAACATACGCGCCCTAACGCAAAAAAATGGTTACAAAAGCGAAATTCTGCAAAATTTTACATATTCTTCTAGTTGAAAACGTTTAAAAAATTCTGTATTAGCTCGACTAATACAGTATTTTGTAAATATTTTGTTCTAGAAGCATATGTAAAAGGACGGGTATCGGTTTCGACTGGAAAATGATCCAATATGACTTTGAGTGAAAATGACCGCAAATGCCTTCTATCTTACTTCCAGATACTTCTGACCTTCGAAAAGTGCTCCTGATCTCCTTGAAAAAAATTATTTTTTACCAGCTTTCGTCACCAGTTCGAGAAAGGGCATTCACTTTGTTTCACAATTTTTTCGTACAATTCCAAAGACTTTGACCACAGTCTATATGAGCCGATTGCTAAATTTTTGTACAATTGCTGAAAAAAAATGGAAGTGACTCTAGAGAAAATTTAAATAGCACATCTTGTTCGCCAACATTTTCTGAGTCGACAACTGTAGTTTCCCTACTACCGGAGTTATAACACCTGAGAAAACCCTTCTGGAAGTTCGGTTTTTCCCATAAAGGGGTTTCGCAGTAACTGACCCTATACTCATGACAAAAGGCATAAGTTATTCACTAATCGATAGCTTTCGATGAGCTCTGTCTACTACCAGCGCTTCCGTTTTAACAAATTTTCTGGGCTAGATTCTAAAAATGTTGGGTTTTGAGACAAAAAACCAGGAATCCGTAGAATTCTTCGAAGCAAAACATATTATTCACTGTTCCTTGACTTGTTAACAGTCTATTAATACAAATTGAATCGATTCCCACAATCACAATAATTCACAAATAATTCCTTCGCTGAAGCCGATGGAAGTGCAAGAACAAAAGATTTTCCTTAACGGCAGTTCTATTGGTATACTGTTTACCCGTAAAACCCGTTTCACCTTGATTCTTTGGTCGTATAAACGTCGCTTATATAAAACGTTTCTTTTCTTGGTCATTTCCAATCTAAAACTGAGTTATACAAGTAAAAGAAACGAAGAAAAGCCTTATCGAAGTGCAAAAACAGACAACATCAGCGATGTTCCACATCTGTTATCTCAAATTTGGGGGTTTTGTCCATCTAGTATTAACCAGTTAGTGCGAAATGCTCGAAATCAAGTTCACCGTATCGTCAAGAATCTAAAAATATATGTTATTACTTAATCTGATCGAAATTCGACCGTTAAGTTCATGAATGAAGGTCTGTCTACACTTTTTTCAAAAAAAACGTACGTCTCCACTTTCTTGTATTACGCTAAATTCATGAGGAATAAATGAAAAAAACTTGAGTAAAATAATTCATCCTAGTAGAACTTTTTATGCTCTATCTTGTGTGAAAGTCGCATGAAGGTCGAGCGCGTCGTTCTTGACATTTTGGAAAAAGTCCGTCTACACTTAGTGTGGAAAACTCCTTCACTTAAAATAAAATCAACTTTTCTCGCTCACCTAAATGCTTAAACAGTTCAATTCATTTTTTTGTTTTGTAGAGCGACAAATTATCTATCAAACTGCCACATTTTCGTTTTTCAATCAATTATAGAGCCTGAGATAATTGCGTAAGAAGGTCCGTCTACAAAAAAGGGCGGTCTTGCCTGATAAAATGTTTTTCAACTACAAGATCAGAAAAAGATCACCGGAAGCAAAAGTGAAGATGATAGGTCGTAGGAGTACCGAGTCTTGTACAAAACGTGTCATTTACTTTTTATTTTTCGTTCATTTCCGCCTCCAAAAAAACCAGTTTTATCCCGCTGAATCATCGAAAAAATGGGATGGATGAAAGATGAGCACGAAGAAACTTGAGCACGGAAAGATGAAGCACGGGAAAGTTGAGCACTAGGAAATATGGGCACTAGAAAAATTGGGCAAGAGGAAATTTGAGCACGAGAAAGTGAGCAGTAGGAAACATGAGCACAAATTTACAGTTTATCCATTAAATTTTTTGTATCATAAACAATTGAAAAAATTTAAGAGGAACTTAATTTAATCAATTTATTCAATATACATACTATTATATGAAATATTAAATTTTTTATTAGATGATCAACAAAGAAAGAAATATTTATTTTATAAGCAAATATTATGTGCAATATTATTTAGTTGCATAAGAATATCATCATGTGGATGCAATAAAAGATTTAAAAGGCGTCGTTCAAACCGTTCATTTGTTTTACTTTTATGTTTTGGTGCTTCACCACTATTTATATGAACAATATCAGCATGTGCTGCATATTCTTCATGAATTAGTTTTTGTAAAAATGACCAAAGCGTAGGATATGCGCATTCAAATACACATTCTATACGACGATGCCATGCTTCTACAGAATTATTTGTACACATGAATAATTGTGTTGTCCTTTTATACATATTCCAAAATTCAATACTAAATGTTGGTTGACGTCGTGTATTGTTAGGGCGAAGTCGTCCTATATATGTATCTTCAAAATAATTTAAAATATCTTGGCAATCATCATCATAATCTAATGCAAGACGTGGATATGCATGTAAGATATCACAAAGTGGAATAAAAGCTAACGCAACTATTTTATTAATATTATGAGCAAATTTCACATCTTCTTGATAACGATTCTGATAACCTAATGTCTAATGTACAAAAAACAAAAGTTATACATTGAAGAGCGAACATATTCTATTCGAACGTATTTTTATACTAAATTACTTCAGTGTTGTCCGAAGTTGTCGATGAAGATTTTGACGAAAATGGAAATAACAACCAGATAATGATATATTAACAAAACTACTGTCATATACATTAATACATGCCTTTTCGAGATCAAGTAAAATAGAACCAGGAAACCAGCATGGAGCAAATTCTACTGTTGCATTTATAAGACGTTGATATATATCACTATTTTTACGACTAAGTAATGAATAGACAACTGGTACAACATGTCCACGATAAATGGCATGTACAACATATAATTGATAAAAAATCTCAGGAACAACCTAAACATAAGAATATTTACTTTACTTTACTCAACTGAAATTTCCGCCGAAACCTAAGAAATATCTACTTCTACACATACTTTAAATGTATCATCAACAAGAAAATAATCACATGATTGTAAAATATCTAATTGTTCAGAACTGGCAAATATTAACATCCGATCTGGTCCTGTTGAAAAGGAAATTAATTATTAAGACAACAATTCTATTAATGAAATGAAAAATTCTTAGACATAATTGTATGGTGGCATTGCCTGGTTCAGTATCACAACGTAAAAATTTATCACCACGAGATGTTACGGTTAAAGCTGTTGGAACATTTGGAAAATTAGGATCATTTGAGGCTGATGGAAGCTTTTTATCTTGACGTAACACTCTAATGCGACGTTTAATGTTATCACGTGATGGTAAACGAGCTAATGCTTCGTCCGACATTCCGATACAACAATGTGTTATAATTAAATCAGGTGTTTCCTGTGTATTCATTGTACGATACCAATTATTGGTAATATTACATGTACTTAGGGCAATCCAAAAGTAGTGAGGGAGGTACTTTATTTTCTGATAGAAAGCTTCAAAAAAATTTCTTTTTCTATGAACAGATAGAGCGTCTTTCGCTCTATTTTTCTATGCTATCTGATCACTATTCAACTAATATCATAATAATAAAATTTCGATAAGATCTGTTTCTTTCGCATATGTGCTGGTAGCATGAATGCTCGTGAGTATTTTCTGAATAACTTTTGAGAGCAACAAGATAGAGAACTGCGGTTTTCACCATTGGAAAGAGGAGATGAAGACGCATCGAAATGTATATTACTGATTTTTTTAATATGATTTCTGAAGTGTTTTTATTCAATTTTCTAACCGTCGGAAGAATTTTTGTTCATGAAAAAAAGCAAAAAGTTGATAGAAAATCGAAGTGGAGGTTCGTCTAAAATACGTACTACCCCGAAATAATTAAATTTAAACATCTGAT